CTTGTTTTAAACTACGTTCTTTATGATACCTTTCCAGAATTTAATAATAGAGACAGGATTCTACCTCCAAGGAAACACTCCGAATCAAGTTCACAGTGATCTTTCAGCTAATGGTCTTCGGTGAAAGATTCACTGTCTGTTCTGATACCCAGACTGACCCCATATGTAAACTGCATGCACAAAATGGCCTGTAATCTTATGTTAAAAGTGGTACTCATATTTGGTACAGATGTATTAAGTAAACATAAAATGGCAGTCTATTCAGAAATAATTAAAAGGATTACGGTCATCTGAGTTTCAGGTCAAAGTTTCACATTTCATAAAATAAGCACAAATAAAGTCAGAGTCTTGTATATCTTAATCTATACTTTCTGTGGGGAACAGAATGGAAGACAGAAGATTCTGAAAGGAATTAGAGCAAGCATTCCCCTGATTTGATAGCCCTTAATTCCTTCTTAATACAATTTTAATTTTTGTTTACAAAATATTTTTTTTAACCTTTCCAACACCTTCAAAGAGTTGATTAGCTATCATTTTCTTACGATTCTGACCTGTATTTAAGGACAAGACATAAATATATATTTAGTTGTGTCCGTGTCCACTTCTAGACCAATTACTTACCCACTCACTCACTCACTCACTCACTCATCAAGGTGAGCCCTTCTTGAAGAGCTGCCAATTCTGCAGCTACTCAAGAATTTCCCAGCATTTTATGGAACCCGAAGGTTCATCACCGTGTTCACAAGAGCCCTCCACTGGTCCCTATCCTGAGCCAGATCTATCTGTCTGCCTTACTAGTTCCTCCACCTATTCAAAATGTTGTGGGAATCTGCAAGTTACTGCTAGGCTGGTAACCCATTTTAAAGTCATTTATTCCTGTATACAGGTCTCTAATATTCTTGTCCTTACTGTTCATTGCAAGCTCATCAATTTTGTCTTTCAGGTATTCCCTCCTTTGTTCCTGAAATGCCCGCTGGTTTCAGGTCTTATATTGTTTAGATTATCACCATTTAACTCACTTGGATCCTGTAATCACTTGCAATTTGGCCTTTCTTTGATCTAATAATTTTGAGCATCCTTCATCGAACCATGGCTTATGACCAATTACTACCAAGAAAAAGTAAATATTTATGAGGAAAGTTATTTTCTTGCAGTGATACACTTCCAATAACTTCCTCACTGATCGTAGAGTGAGAATTTGTGTTTTTGCCTTTCACTGTGAAGGAAGTAAAAGAAATCTAGAAATAATTAATTCTGGTGTGTTTTAATGATTACAAATGATTATTTTACAAGTACTGATGTTTTTACATATATTGTGGGGGGGGGGGGCATTTTCTCTTTGACATGCAGCCACCCTGTCACCGTGGGACATAAATACAGAGACCTGGTCATCTGGGTTAACTGTCTGATGCAAGGCTGATGACCTTGCACTGTAATAATAATTGTTGCGAAATTGGTGATGTGAATCTAGGTGCACTAAGACATGAGACAGATGTGGAAGAATCTTGTAAGGAAGTGTGAAATAGATACCACAATGAGAAAAAACAGAAACTTTAATTGATTGATTGATTGATTGATTTCGTCACTGTAGATCATTGTACATGATATAGGACAAGTGAAGTTAATTCTGAATATTAACAATTTAATATATGAGTAAGATTAAAATTACAATAGTTACAATTGTTTACAGTTGATTACAATTTAGAATGTTAGATATTCTTATTTGTGGAGAATTTGATGGAATGAAGATGCTAGTAAGGAGGTTTGTGTAAAAGTGTAAAAGCACAGAGGAAAGTAAGTATATGCTTATGTTTCATCAGCAGAATGTAGGGCAAAATCATGACATAAAGATAGCCAACGGATGCTTTGGAAAGAAAAGTGGCACGATTCAGATCGATTCAGATATATGAGGAGGACACCAAAGGAATGGACAGCAGTTTTAACCACTAGTAGCGCTGTAGTTGCAGTGTGGAGTGGGGGTATCGAGGTTGGAGACCGCGCCACTGGCGGAGTTATTTTGAAGCTGTTTTGTTTAGGGGTAGTCAGCCATTTTATCTGTTGGGTGGTTTAAGGCGAGGGAAGTTTGGTGAGGATTTTGTTGAAATGTAAGTAGTAACAAGAAGTGTTTTGGCGATATTTATTCATTTAATGTGGACATTATTTGAGAATGTTTAATATTGTTTGTGAATGAATGGTTTTCTAGGTGTATTGACGTTTTTGTAATGAAATCGTGGGTTGCAAATGCCGTAAACACTTTCAGCACAGGGAATGTAATTTCAGCTTTCGAATTAACTGGAACAGTACGAGTTCATTATTATCATTGCTTTAGGCAGTCTTAAAGAGTTTTTAAGACAAGCATAACAAATCTGCGCGTCAGAATAAAGCTTAATATATTATGGTAAAGGTAAAATGATTTGCAGGTCAGGAGGAGTGAGTTAAAGAGAGAACCAAGAATATAAAGTAGTCTAGAAAACTTTGAAGTTGCGATTTAACCATTTAATTGTCAGTGGAAGTAGGGATGTATTTCTGAGTTTCACCCCACAGACTATAGCAAAACATGTGCATTAAATTTCTGAAATAGATACTGCTTAAACAAGTGCTGTTATTCCAGTTATTTTTTCTTTCTCCCAAGTTAGGTTCCTATAGTTGTGGAAACTAGAAATAGGGCTTATGAATAGTTGAGTGATTGTTAGCTTCTGAAGAAGGGCACGTTTCCCCGGCATTTGTAAATCTTGGTGTGTGCATGGCGTCTTGGGGAATAACAAAGACGTAAGTGAGAAGTTCTCCATCTGTTATTACATGACGAACCTCCTGTGAGGGCAGTATGATGAACATACATGGGTTTCACAGTTCACTGATAACCTCCAAAAACCCACAACACATTTGTATATGAAAATAAAAATGTGTCCTGCCTACAGTTAGGAAATTCCCGTAAAATTGCAGCTATAATAAGATGATAAGGAGGAGAGAAGAGCATGCTCATTATGTTAGCTCATTCATCTTAATGTAAGAGGCTTTTTTCCCGTGCTGTTTTGGCTGCAACAGGATATTTAATGTGGAGAGTTTACTGGATGAAAGGGTATTCTTTTTAGAGATAAGAGGGAGAGAAGTCAAATTTTATAGCGACATTTGAATGTAGATGGATAGAGGGGAACACGTTCCCCTCTTATATTAATATACGAGGATATGATGATGATTGTTAATGTAGGGCCTTTATTTTTTCTGTGTCACAGAAATTTTTGCCTTAATAATAAGTTGAGTGGTGTATTATGTGAATCAGCTCAATGTGCATGCGGTGTCTAAGATGAGACTGTAGTTTTGGAGAGATGCAGTCCTAGAGTTTATGTGTTTTGTATCTGTTTTTCTCATGAGCATGATAGAATGTGTGTATCAGTCACATGTTCTGTAGGATTCAGCTGTATTGTTTCTCCTTAACTTGTTTTTCAGTGCACAGTTATGCATCAGCACATGAATTTTGTATGTGCTCCACCCGTTCACCCCGTTCCTTCAGAGCAAAATGGCCGCTGCAGATCTTTTCTTAGCTTGCAGAATAGTAGAGCATCCAAGAGCTGTGGAAGATGTGATAAAGAGAGGACACAGGTGCCTCCACCCAGAGCAGCCTTGGCTCAACACAGCGTCAGAGGTTAGTGAATTTTAGCGACTGGTTTTGTGCTGTTTGGAATGTATTGATGATGCTGATAATTAATTGAAAACTTTGGTTTCAGAAGTTGTTTTGTTTTTCTTAATTTTGTTTGTTTATGATTTGTTTACTAATACTGTCACTAGGTCGGACTTTTTGTAGAGGCAGTTGTGATCTAGTATGAGGTGCCATGCCAGCATCTGCCTGTATTTGGAGCTGGAGGTTCTTCCACTCCTGTTTATTTTCTATTTGTAGTTCAGTGACAGTAAATGAGACTCAAACTGCATCGGATGGTAATAACAATTGGAAGAGATGTGGATGGAAGCAGTAATGGTATAATTTAAGTTACTGCCTCACCTTTTTCCTGAAGGTAGTGAGGAAAACCAGGAAAAAGTCCTCAGCCAGCCTGGGTAGTCAGTGCCTTGGGCAGAATTCAAACCATGGCTCTTCAGAATACCAGTCAGAAGTGTGACCACTTAACACACCTAACTTGTGTCCATAACTGTGTAACTGTTAAGGTGGCTAAAAATTCAGAGTTTCATTTTGATGTTAGGAGCAATGATGTGGTTTGCAGGTACCTGCTGTATTGTTCTCCACATCGTTCCCTTGTGACCGAACCTGGGCTAGACACTTCTATCACATGCCAGTAATGTGAGGGGATGGGCAGTACCTCGTGTATCTGCTGCCCTGGTTTCACATGCTGACTTAGAACACTGGTGAACAGGTGAACTGATGGGCCAAAGGTTCTGTTGTAACGTGTCCACCGTTTCCATTATTTGGCGATAGATAACAAGTAGATACAGTGCATCTGTGAAAAGTATGAGAAGTGAAAAGCTTACGGAAACTTTCCTTATTGTTCATCAGAGACCCGTTATATTCATTGCATTCTCCAAACCCGTAGAATGTCTCGTGATCTGTTACTGATATACGATATTGTCTTACAGATATACCTGGCACAAGCACAGGAGCTGGCATTCTGTGAAAATGTCTTGCTTTGACGTGTCCGTTGACCATCCGCACGCAGACATCGTGCACTACTTCCTTCTGGGTCGAGGTAAGCGTCTTGCTGTGACTGCAGAGGGATGAGGTAAGTGCAGGCTGCACAGGTGCGTCTAAGAAGACAACTCGAAGAGCTGGATTGTTTTGTGCTGTTGTGAACATTGTGTGGAATTATATGCAGTGTATTTTTCGAAACTTATGGGCACGTATAGCCACTATGGTTGTTGCGAAGAGAGAGAGCACACATTGACTATTTATTCTAATGTGGCAGTGAACATCAGCATGACTACAGATAATAAATGATGGCTATTTCTTAACCTCACTTTTGTGTTCACTTGGTAGTGATAATGATGATTATCAGCAGCATCACAGTTGATGTATGTTTTTTCTTTCCTAGGTTGTTTCCCTAAGTGTTGCCTGTGTGCTTATCTTAACGCTCATCATGGTCTTTATTTCCTCCTGTCCTTCCTGTAATATCTCTTATTGTTTTGTGGCTTGTTCTTCTATGCTGTGCAGAGAGTCAGGTTGACTCCGAAATTCTCATCATCTATTTATAGGTTACCAGTATCAGATATCGGGTCTTTGATGCTTACTCATTTATGTAAACGGTTTTATCCTTCAGGTGAAAATAGCATGATGAATCTCACATATCTGCATCTGCTTGCCTTCGTATCGATGCCTGTCTTCATTGCGTATTCTTCAGCATGTATAAACCTCCTTTTTTATTGTTTTTCCTGTTTGTGTGTCTCAGCCAACTTTCCAGCTGGCATTGCTCTTAACCAGAATGCGTATGGCTTACATTGGCATGAGGAGGTGGAAACAGTAACAATTAACTTAATATTAATATTTCAGTTAATGACATGACATATAAGAATACACGATCAAATTGCCGCAAGTTATAATAGAAATCGAGACACTGTTAATATTGTTTTGACATACAGAATTTACTGTACGTCTACTCTGTTATAATTAAGGTAAATAAGTATTTGTCATTAAGATGATATAGACGAACTTCGTCATATATTTCAAGGAAGTGAGAGAGTGATTTTTTTCCTTCAGGTCAAATTTTGGAGAATTAGACATCCTCGAAGGAGTTTGCTGCTTGGCGTGCTTTGCGTCATCCTGTTATGAACCGAGTTGCAATGAAACAGATCTGACTATGACATGCGATAGCTTCAGTGATGTGGTGTGTTGAAGAGATTTGAGTAAAATGGATCTAGTACAGGTCATGTTCCATAGAACAAGTGTCTTTTTATGACAGCAGAAATGGCAACGCCACACCACACCATCATTTGTGCGGTAAGTTGTACAGCATCAGAGTACTTTATAGGAGTTTTATTAGTTGTTGTGTGCTTTAGACTTAATTTTCAACTATTATATTTTGTGTTTTAAGGTACATGTGGTTGTTTGCGGACGGCTTCTTTCTCCAAGTGATACTTGCTTGTCTGCCTCAGCTTGCTTGTAGCTAATCTTTGAGTCTGCCTGACTGCCTTCGTACTTCGCCATCCATGCAGCTGGCATTATGCTTACCTAGTATGCATGGGGTTTCCATTGGCCAAAGATATAGAAATGCTCACTATTTCCTTAGCATGAAACTCTTCACTTTGTAATGTAAGATAAGAAAATGTGATGTAGTTGATTTAATTTGTAATGTAATTTTGTGACTGTTTAATAGTGTTTGACATACATATTTGATTAACAGTGCTCTCTCATAATTAGGGTAATTAATATTTGTCGTTCTTATGATTTAGTTGTGCTTCAAGACATATTTCTGTGAAGCTAGTCAGTTTCCATGTCCTTCAGGCCATAGTCTGGAGACTAAGATAGCGTGGAATGTTGCTGATTGTGGTATCACTGTGTCACCCTCAATAGAAGTCAGCGGCAATGTAACAGTTCAGACTGAGTGAGGAGGCAAAAGTCAGTGGAATGTGGAGAAGTGTGTTAGTGAAAACTGATCTACTCCTGGGTATGTTACCGAGACGTATGTAGCCTAGTGACAGTGGAAATGATACCACCTACCACCACACCATACCACCATTTACGAGGTGACATGTACACCAGCATTCCCTTCTGTGGAGTTATCTTAATTGTTCTGTTAATTTATACATAATATCAACGTGTTACATGTTGAATTTTAGGTAACATATCTTAGTTATGTAAACGGTTTTTTCCTTCAGGTGAAAATAGCATGATGAATCTCACATGTCTGCATCTGCTTGCCTTCGTATTGATGACTGTCTGCATGCATATTCTTCAGCATGTATAAACCTGCTTGTGTGTCTCAGCCAACATTCCAGCTGGCATTGCTCTTAACCAGAATGCGTATGGCTTACATTGGCATGAGGAGGTGGAAAACACAAAGAATTAACTTAATATTAATATTTCAGTTAATGACATGACATATAAGAATACGTGATCAAATTGACTCGAGTTACGTGGGGCAATCCAAGTTTCCAAAATTTGAATTTTGCGCGCTAATGGTTATGAGTACATCAAAATACTGCTGTGTGTCTCCTCACACATCCTTGAATCAGTGTGGCAAGCGGCGTCGAGTTGAGTGGTTGGGTTTATTGTTGGTGAACGTATTTCCATTGTTGTGTTTCCGTGAGTTTGTGGTTTTGCCATGGCTGACCTGAGAGAGCAGCGTGTCTGTATAACGTTTTGTTTCAAACTTGGGAAAACCGCTGCAGAAACACACCAAATGTCGAAGCAAGCTTTTGGTGAAAACAGTTTTGGACAGAGACAAACTTTCAACTGGTATAAGCGTTTTAAATATGGCCGAACATTGACTTATGATGACGATCGTTCAGGACAGCCGTCAACGGGCAAAACACCAGAAAATGTCGTGAAAGTTAGGGATCTGATTCTACAAGATCGTAGACTGACCATCCAAGACCTCTGTAACATCTTGGGACCAAGTTATGGTACATGTCAACGAATTTTGTCGGAGGAACTGAACATGAGGAGGATTGCGGCGAAGTTTGTGCCACGACTGCTGCAAAATGAACAGAAGCAGCATCGCTTGGAAGTCTGCAGGGAACTTCAGCAACAGCTTCAAGAGGATCCAAACTTTCTTTCGAAGGTTGTCACTGGTGACAAAAGTTGGGTTTATGACTATGACCCTGAAAGCAAGCAGCAATCGTCACAATGGAAGAGCCCTTCTTCACCTCGGCCAAAAAAGCTCGACAAGTCAAGAGCAACATTAAGTCCATGTTGATCTGTTTTTTTTATATTGACGGGATTGTTTATAAGGAGTTCATCCCTCCTGGTCAGACAGTCAATAAAGAGTTCTACCGTGATGTTCTAAGGCGTTTGAGGGAGAACATGAGGCGAAAACGTCCAGGGAAGTGGCGCATGAATGACTGGGTACTCCACGATGAGAACACACGACCGCATACTGCTTACATTGTGCAGGAATTTTTGGCTAAAAACAAGATGGCAGTTGTTCCCCACCCACTGAACTTGCCAGACTTAGCTCCATGCGACTTCTTTCTCTTCCCCAAGATGAAAATCAAGTTGAAGGGGTGAAGATTGAGGAAGTTCAAGCGGAAACGCAGATGGCACTAAACACCCTAACACAGAAAGACTTCCAGGATGCATTTGAAAAGTGGCAGAAACACTGGGATCGGTGTATGAGCTCCCAAGGGGACTACTTTGAAGATGATGGTGCAGAATAAGATCTAGGTAAGATATAATAGTTTTTATTAATATATTTCGGGAACTTTTGGATTGCACCACATATATATGAGGAGTGTTCCATATATGATGCCTATTCTTTTTAATGAAGACTACAACACATACAGAAAGCATTAAATAGAGCAACATTTCAGCTACTTACAGTTATTTTTCCACATAATCATCACATTCGTTATGCACTTTTGCCAGTGATGAACAAGAGCCTGTACGCCATGCCTGCAAAAGTCTGCGCCAGCAGAAACTAGCCACTTTATTACAGCTGCAATGACAGCATCGTTGTGTGGAAAATGTTGCCCTCATAGTTCATCTTTCATAGGCCCAAAGAGATAGAAGTCTGAAGGTGCTAAATCGGGGCTATAAGGTGGATGTGGTAGGACAGTCCAGCCAAACTTTGCAATGTGCACGGTGGTCGCTAAAGTGGTATGGGGGTCTAGCGTTATCATGTTGCAAGCGAAAGGTTGTCTGCTTCTCTGGCCTGACTCGGGAAATTCGGGCTTTCAGCAGAGTCAGCGTCGTCTTGTAGCGTTCAGAATTGACAGTCTCACCAGGCTCCAGGAAATCCAACAAAATCACACCCCACCTATCCAAAAAGACCATGCACATCACTTTCCATGCCGATGGCTGTCTTGAACTTTTTTCTTGGGGAATCCAGACATTGCCACTCCATGGACTGTTTTGGATTCCGGCTTGTAGTGGTGACACCACGTCTCATCTCTGGTGATGATGCTGTCCAGAAACTTGTCACCTTCAGCCTCAAACTGGTGCAGCAGGTCCTGACAGACTTCCATTCGATGAGTTTTGTGGTCCTGTATAAGCATCCGCGGGACCCACATGGAACAAACTGCAATAATCCAGCTTCCCCAACATCGTTTCCAAAGCATTACAGCCGATATTAAGCCATGCACACAGTTCCCTGGTTGTTATCCGCCGATCTGTACGGATGAGCTGATCAAGGTGCTGTTCATTGCAAGGAGTGGCAGCTGAGCAGGGACGCCCATGGCGTGGCTTGTCGTGCACTTCACTTTCGCCACTGTTGAAACGCACTACCCACCGCCTCACTGTGCTGACATCCACTTTATCGTCTCCGTATAACCTTTAGCAATCATCAATGGACATCAATGGGTGCAATTTGTTCGGCAGTGAGAAATTCATTAACACATCTCTGTTTCGTATTCACTTCTATGTCAGACGCCATTTTGGTAGACTGCTCTGCTGTCCCTATCTGTCGCACTACAAACAAACTAACAGTACATTGGCGGGAAGCTTCAACCTTTACAACACCACCACCACCAACATCCAGCTCAGACGTTACATATTAACACAAAAAATAGGAGGCATTATATACAGAACACCCTTCATAAATCGGAAAAACGAGAGTGCAGATAATTTTTGACCTCACGTATGTAACGAAAAGAGCAATTTTTACAAATGAAAATTAACTGTAATTATTTTGTCATTAAATGCAAAATATAATCTTTATTATATATGTTATGAAGTGCCAAAGGACTTACCCGTAGTTTTTTCTTCCATCTTGAGACATGGTGATTTTGTGAATATAATCACACTATACACAATATTTTGTTCAGACTGTACACGAGTTTGAACTGCGTAACTTAACAGTTTACGATACCTCACTTTCTGACGCTCTTTTGCCACATCTCGAAGCAGTTCATAACACAATGCCCAACATCACACTTTTTACAATAGAAAAGTGTGCTCCCGCTTTTCTTATTTAGCCAACACACACGTCTTTGTTTCCTTTTTTGTTGGCCAGTGTTGTCAGTTTTATAGTACTCTTTAATTATTCTTGTATAAATATAAAGCTTTAACTTTTAACTATCCTTAAAGTAACTATACTGATTATGTTTTAACACTGAAAGTCTTGGCACATATTGATCCCTGGTTGGGCTTATCATAGTATCAACCTAATTATATTCTTATATTGACACTGTTGATGTATCATGATACTGGGATTACTGCTTCTGATAACATACAGTGTTCGATACAATATGGTAGAAATATTTTACATTTATTTAAGTCTTCTATCATATGAACTCTAAACTCCTCAGTTAATTTACACTCTCATAGGATGTGGTTTATAGCTTCTTTGGCTTTGTCACATTCACACATTTCTGTATTAACTATATTAAATTGAATAAATCACTTTTTTATAGACAATACTGGTCTACTTCTGATTCTATTTATTGAGACAACAGATTTTCTTTGAAACTTGAATCTCTGGAACCAAGGTTTTCCATTGTTTTGGCAGTAGTTCTCAGAGTACTTCCTTTTGTTTCTGTTTTCCTGAATTTCTGTGCCACTTCTTGGTTGCTACTCTCAGTTTTGTCTTCCAGGAGCTCTTCAAGTCTGTTAGAAATAAGTATTGACCATCTTCAACTTTTCTAATATTCTTCTTTGCTGGCACATCCATTATTTCACTGAGGAGAATACCCGTGTGTGCTGGAATCCATACAAATTCAATATCCCATTTATGTTTCTTCAGTGTCAGTAGTTTGTCTTTTATTTGGAGTATTAATGCTGAGGTTTTTTTTTTTTGTTAACGATCTCTTGTTAAGGCACATGAGTACACTTCTAGAGTCAGAACATGTGCAGTTTGTTGTATTGAGTGACTAGTGACATCTCTTGCCTATTGGAATGAGTTGCATGTTCTTAGTAACTCTCAAAAAGAGACATTAGATATCACCGATGCATGTTCCCCTCCCTCAATCCTATTGCTTCCCAACAGGTTCGTTACTGAAATATCTACTTGTTCAGAAAATGGCCAATTATCACGAATTTCAGTGCATTTCACAAAACACAAAGTTTTGCAGCCATAATCAGAAGTGCTAGCCACTGTAAATCATCCAGAGACAGTTAAATTCAGCCCATATCTTCATGCGGGTATTTTCAGAATAGACTTCAATGTTATCTTATCATGTGAGATGGTTTCATATTGTCATGTTATAGAGAGTGACTATAGATGAATTTGGATTGGTAACTGGATTTACTGAACTCTTAATCAACTTGTGACTATATTTTATGTGTACAAATCACTGTCACACGCAAGTTAGTGTTTGCCGTCACGGTCTTCACTGCACTGCTTGGTAGTGGCTTTCAACAGTGTAGCATCCTTGGCTTTTGTGTCCAATGGCTCCTATCCTCGTTGGCCAGCAACTTTCAGCTACAGCTCCCAAGATGTACTGACTAGCTTCTAATTGCCAAACTCACTCATAACGCACAACTGACTCCTTATGTAGCCGCTGCATGGACTGCATAGAAAACACTTCTCCCAACAGTTATTCTTTTGCTGTCACATAGCCATAGCATGGACAGTGTTCAGAACACTGCTTCCCATTATTGTATCCTCCTGTTGCTGTGGAATTGTTGTGCTTGTGACTGCTGGCAGGGCTACAGGACTACATGCCACAATATCTACATCTCTCACCTCTTAATAACCAAGCCTCATGCTGTTTTTTTACACTGTCAGTATGATGATACCATGCACCACTGTTATTTAGGTTCCTGAGTTGTGAACTACTGCACTGTTAAAAATTCATCACTTAGGAATGAATCCAAAAATGCTGCACACCACTATATAAACACAGAAAAAATGACAAGGCTTCAGTACATGATATAGTACAACATACAAAAACAATACTGCATTCAAATACCTATTCATATTAATGAACTTTAACATAACATTAACTTTAACTATTTAACAAAAAGTGTATGACTTCAGATATGTTAATCTTTTATTTATGTATGTCATAAAGTTTACTTTAATACTTGGTGTCCCTCTGAAGACTGTCATCTTATGACTGAAATACATCAGGGATATAACAGTATTTCATAACAAACACACAAATTCCATGATTTCAGTCCGCAAGCAAACTATACCTACCGAGCAACAGCCACATGTTACCACAGTTAGTGCTAACTTTAGTGGATAGAGGGTGTCCCGTGGTCAGCACAATGAATCCCCACGGCCGTCAATTTCGGTTTTCTAGACCGGAGCCGCTATTTCCTTCAAATAGCTCCTCAATTATCACGAGGCTGAGTGGACCCCATTCCAGGCCCACTACTTCTCCAAAAATATCTGGTAGCGCCGGGAATCGAACCCGGACCTCTGGATCTGTAACCAGGAACGCTGACCGCTAGATCACAGAGGCAGTCTAACAGTATTTCATAAATAAAAGGAAATAAATTTGATACACTTAGATGGCAATTTCACATTTATTTTATAATATAAAATACATTGGAAAAATTAACACTATCAAACCTGCAGGCAGCCCTTTTTATTTACAAATTATTTCCTTTCAAAGAAAACCAAATCTCCCAACACTGATGTCATGATTTATGGAGATGTTTTAAATTTGCACAACATTTTGTAATCCTGTTAATAAAGCTGCTGGTTATGCTGCAACCTCATATATTCAGATATGTTACTTTAAGACAAAACAAATTTTAAAAAATACATACATTTCTTGAAAAAGGTAATAACACTTACTGGACCCCTTCATCACATTTTGAACATACAATTTTCAGTCAGAGGTCAATACTACTGTTCAAGAAGCTGGATGAGCAAAATTAAACCTAAAGTTGTTGTCTGAGCTCCTATATATGAAATTCCCATTGTTGGCCTTTGACTGAGTGCTTGCCTTTTCCTTGCTTAGTGGCACCTTGAAGTTGAACCTGAAGTTGTTCTGTGAAGGCTCACAAACAACAGCACTCTGCTTTATGAAGCAGGACTTCTTGTTTGGTACAGCAATACTGATCCTCTCGTGGGCTACAACATTCAATGCATCACCATGAACCAACTGGTATGGGTAATACAGGGCCTTCAACCATTGAGGAAACCTGGGAGCAGCGCATAGCAGACACAACATTTATCACAGATTGCTGCTGTAAGTGTAGATAGCAGAATCAGTCATTGGTGCTGATAAACGCGCGCCATTAGGTGGTCTGATCTTGTCACTGCAGTAAGTCACATTAATAGTCAGTCTGTGTTAGGGGTGTTGATAGGCAGTCGACATTTATACCGAAATGAAGTTCACTATTGAACAGCATGTTTATTGTTGAAACTTTTGCAAGGTAAAAACTTACAGAAAATATATCCGTAAGTTCATGGTTTCGTGGAAAAATAAGTGACCAATGATTCGTCACGGACTTACAGTACCACTACACCCCCAACTTTTCACTATGTAATGCCATTTGCTGTATAGTGTGAGAATTTTCATCGCTCCATATTCTTACATTTTGTGCACTGACATGGCCACTAATGTGAAACCCCGCTTCATCAGTCATGAACAGAAGCTGTGGATCCATGATTTCATCATGCACATTTTGCAGCAGCCAGTTGCAAAAACGAGTTCTTGCTGCATAAGCTGATTGTTTCAGCTCATGCACAACTGTTATTTTATATGGGCAAAATCTGATTAATTTTGTGGTTGTGAAAGCAAATCATAGCGAAACACCGCTTTTCTGTGCTAAGCGTCTTAACGATTTTAGAGGACTGATCTGCAGTCATGCCTCAATATCCCGAACCTCTTCTTCAGTCAGCACAATCCTCTTCTATTGCTTCTTTATGTCACACACTGAACCTGCGGCCTGCCACTTCTTCACAAGCTTGGATACACACGACTTTGTGGGAACTGGCGAGTCATGATATTTATGACGAAACTTACGGATACATTTTGTGTTAAGTTTCTTCCTTGCAAAAGTTTCGAGAATAAACGCACGCTGTTCAATAGTGAACTTCATTTCAGTACAAATGTCAACCGCCTATCGACACCTCTAACACAGAATGATTATTAATGTGACTTACTTCAGTGACAAGATCAGAACACCTTATGGCGCACATTTATCACCGCTAATGACTCATTCTGCTATCGGCAGTTACGGCAGCAATCTGTGAGGAATGTTGTTCCCACCCAGTGGTGTTGCAAAGTTTCTTCGACCATTGAACACAGTGTATAAATAGAATAAATGGAATATGTGTATTTGTTTTACACAATGTAAGGGGACCTGGTAGTTTACAAGTAAGGTGACTGAACTTCTGTACCAAGTTTTCCAGTTCAAGAATGTCTAAATCCAGTGCAAATTTCTTCCATCATCTCTGGTAAAAGTAAAACCTTGTAAATGAGAGTAATGCCAGGCACCCACTACAGCTTAAAGTGTTCAAACTGCAGGTACCTGCCAGCCATCCATACCATCCAGGGCACCCGAGACTGCCTCACAGGTTCCCATAACTTAGAAATGGATATCTTCACCAATGCCTAGGCTGGCAGAGGCCAGAAAAATGGAAGAGAGCATAACTGGAGGCGTTATCCATTACAACAACCAATCTCTTACAAGGGCCATTTTTTTGTCCATTTCTTCCCAATGACTCTGTCTGGGTTTCTTTCTTTACCCATCTCACTGAATCCCCCAAATACCTTTCCTGTAACCTGCCTTATAGCCAAGCCTAATCCTGAACCTACATACTTCAGCCTTGATGGAGTGGTCCTCCAAAATGTTGGTAACCACTTGCAAAACTACATGGTGTCACAACACAGAAGACCACACTTAACATTGTTGTTGAGAACAACATATTTATATACTGCAATTAATCAAGTACCACTACAGGAGGCTTATATACAGAATTTCAGAGAAGTTTTCACTGCAACAAAAACATGTTTTGAAAGTCCTGCTACACAGCTCATTCTAAAACCAAGTTTTGCATTCCCAAATGTGACAGTTCATCTGTTACCATCAGATGATGGTAAAGTAACTAAACTAAACAACAACTAAAGACTTTAGATCTTACAGCCAATTGTATATTGTTTATATTGTATGTATATATTTTAACTTTTAGAACATGTAAGGTAATGGTGGCTTCTAACAGTATTGATGTAAAGGTGGTTTCTGAAGACCTAAACATGTAAGGGCATGAATAACTGAAATAAGAAAATCTTAACCAATCACACTGGATGGAAGTATTTAACTTTTTCGCAGTAATATTACCCTCCCATCTGTGTATATATTGGAACATGTTTAGTTACCGAAGATGCCGTTCAGATCGTTAATTGGTTTATTTAACCTACAAGTATTGGCTACAATTAATTACAACAATGTTACGGGTTTCCACACTTTACAAACCCTACACACAAATCTCTTCACGCTGTCCTCTGAAGTCTACACGTATTCACAGTACGGGAGCTATACAAGTCTCTCTGTATTACACACGCGTCCGGTTCTCCTTTCCGCAACTGCTGCTATACTCAACTCTTTGTAAGCTGCTGCCTTCAGAACTGTCTTCGGCAGCTGATACACTTTAACTCGCTTCGAAGGCTGCTACACTTTAACTGTGTCACTCCTGATCACACACTAACTTTCATAGGCAGTGTAGTTCTCTTATAAACCCTCAGCTGGACAACGGGAAATGCCTCACTTTGTTGTTGCCTAGTCGCCGTGTTTGCCGATAACCTAGCAACGCTGTTGGGAGTTGTTTACAGCTATGTAGCAACTGCGGCATCCCGTGTTACATCACAGTGGGGAGACGGAGTGTTTGCTTAGCATTTACCCGCTTTGCATAGTGACCAGCATGCTGGGACTCGGCTCACTTTGGCACGTCACAGCTGGCGGGGGGGGGGCATCCATAGCGCAACATGTCACACTGCTCCCTCCTTAAGGCTGTTCGTCCCAAATAGCCTAACAGTGCATCCTCGTTCCTTTGTCTTTGGAGGCTGTTCTTGCAGCATCTTCTTTGTGTCCTGCTGCTGTTTCTCTTCTCCCCGTTGCTCTGCTCTCCAACCGCCACATCTTCCCCCTTTTTATGGTTGCTCGTCTCGAGCAGCTCCATGTGTACTACCAACATCCTCGACCTAGGGGTCTTCTGGATTCGGTATACCACATCATTTATCTGGGTCACCACTTTGTAAGGACCTTCCCACGATGCTTGTAGTTTCGGTGATTTCCCTTTCCTTTGGGTTGGGCGATAGAGCCAAACTCTGTTGCCTTCATCGTAACCTGCGGAGTTGGCCAGTTTATTGTACTGAGTTTTCATCTGGTCACTGGTGAGCTTTAGGTGTTGTCGTGCAGATGATCCACCAAGTCTGCTGCGTCATTGGTTGTCGGTAGTTCTTTGTCTGAGGGTACCCCAAGCAGCAGGTCACAGGGTAGTCATAGTTCTCGTCCAAACACTAGGCTAGCAGGGGTCAAGCCCATAGTGTCATGAGTGGATGCCCTGTAAGCTAGAAGAAAGAGGGGTAACCTCTCATCCCAGTCCCTTTGGTAGGATGCAACGACCTTCCGCAAGTGCTCCTCGATGGTCTTCACGTAACGTTCCACCATGCCATCTGACTGTGGGTGCAGGGGTGTAGTGTGCGTCTTGCTCACTCCCAGGCGTTGCAAAACTTCTTGCAGTAGACGAGACTCGAAGTTACGGCCTTGGTCACTGTGCAACTACCGAGGTATGCTGAAGCAGCAGAAGAAGTTGGCAACCAGAACTTCTGCTATTGTCGACGCCTCGATTCGGGATGGCGTACACTTCCGGCCACTTGGTAAAGTAGTCCATAGCGACCTCCTGGCGGTCCACCGTGTAGTTCGCTCAGAACATCCTTCACCCTGCTCCAAGGAATAATTATCTGGGCTACTTGACGTCTTCCGTTGGTGGATTCCCAGTCGCGCTCTAGTACGCCGTTTCTCACAGTGAGCGATTTCCACTGGGCCCAGTAGCTTTTGTACGTGGGACTCCGATCTGCGATATCCTGCCATTTCGGTCGCTGGCCGTTTTCTAAATCCTGTAGAATAGGCCCTATGTCTGGGTCTTTTAGCAGTTTCTCTCTTAGGGTAACCAGGTCCCAGCCGGCTGCCAGTAGGGTTCCAATAGCACATATTTGCTTTACATCTGCCCGTGTCTTGATTTTGTGGCAGTGCGCACATTGCTCTTGGCAGGGTTGTCTAGAAAGGGCGTCGGCGTTGTTGTTTCTGGCCCTGACAATGCACCAAAGTAAAGTTGTACTCCTGTAGATGCTGTATCCAGAGCGCAGTTTGTCCTTCTGCAGGCTACGGCCAACTTCTTCTGGGGTCCGCAATTTTCCCGTGTTGAATTCTTCAGATTTCGATGATTTCGGCCCCTATGCCTTTCCTTCTTCGGTTCTCCGACCGGCATTACTTCAGTGTCTTCTACGGGTACCTCTCGTGGTTGGCCGCCTCAAGTTTAATGTCCACTGAGGCCGGCTCTTCTTCTGGACATGCCTCTATTTCTCGGCAGGCCATTGTCACTCTGATTGGTACTGCAATGGGGACCTCTTCTTGTCGTGTCGCCGCAGGTTTCGTTTCCACTGAAGCCGGCTTTTCCTCTTCTTGAGACACCTTCGTCGTTTCTTGGCAGGCTATCGTCTCTTCCTCTATCTCTGGTTTAAATGTGGACACCATCTCCAGGTACTCAACATTTTAACTCCGCCAGATTTTCAAAGAATCTATCAGCTGCCTTTATATCATGATTTTTCCTGCATTCTTGTGAAAAGATGTGAACATATTGTAACATGTAGTACCGCTACTATGCAAAGAACACAAGAAGGAACACACGTTGCTCGGTAGTGACTTGGTGAACATGCTCCCACGGAAACAAGGTGCACACAACGATACGTTGGAAAAGGGGGTGTATTCTGTTGGGTCTGCTACATAGTGAGGAACCCAGGCCAGCTGAGCAGTTCTACTGGGTGAAGTGAAAACATTTAGCTGGTGGGTGGGTGAGTTCAGTTGGCAGTTGAGTCAAACTCTACAAGGAAGGCTGAGAAGAGATCATGCTATAGTTCAGATGATAGTTGACAAGAGTTCAGTTGTGGGATATCACCAGAGAGTAATGATGTAAGTGCGGAAAGCTGAAGAATCTCCACTGTTAAAAGCCACTGCCAGGGAATAGCTGGTGAAGACACAGCAGGCTGGAAAAGGCTTGGCATGTGCTATGGTGATTTGTGGCATGTGGAGATTACAGCAATAGCACTGTAATTACCTGTAGTTCTGAGTGGTATGTAAAAGTGGTCAATAAATCAAATATCAAATCCACATCCCATCTACAGTCACACCCCTAAGTCGTGATACTACACTTCACTGTCACATCTTACCACCATTTAAAGAAACAGTAAATACACATTTCTCTGGTCATCATCTTGCTATTGTCTATTTTCAACAAATTATCTCTACAAAACTTTCATATCGTCTGAAGATCATAAGCCATTTAAAATACAGATTCTCCAATGGTACGAGTTTCATGAAATTTGCCAGTCAAATTATTGCATACTATAATAAGAAACATTTCAACTCACTGGTACATACAAACCTTTACTTAGCTTCCTTTCCTCTTCTGCCATCTTGATTCGGTAATCCCCAAATAAAGACCTCATCATCTGTCGCTTTTTTATTACTGGAGCATTCTTACTCTTGAGAATGGCCAATGAATGAGCTCCATCTTGGGCTGTGAAATAAGGAAATAACTCCATGCACTCTGGACGAATTTTCAACTATTGCAGGATACAGACATAATAACTGATGTGTTATTTTTACATTACTTGAAAAACAATGATAAGATAATATTTGAATATAAAAATACAAGCATAACTGGGAAATTGAAGTAGATGATAAAAGGATCATATTCAAACCAATCTTACTAAAGCAGAGGATGTGACTGGACTCAGATGATTAAGGATTATTTCCATCTGTGAACTTTTGTTGTAACAATGATAAACTTTCATATTAACTGACCAACTAAGTAACCAATCAACCTGCTGGTTATAAAATCCAAAACTTCAACATCTCTGACCTGAAACCTATCATCAAAGCTGATTCTAAACCAGTTCAATCTATCTGACATATCTTGAACCTATCTTAACATATATTTTAATACTATCTTTCCATCTCCTCGGTCCTTTAAGTGGTTTCCTCAGGACTACATTTCTCAGCACCCACCTGGGTTACAAGCCTAGCACATCAAAATGCCTTTTAATTGTGCTCAAAGTGACAGTAAACCACATAAATTACAAACTTTCTCATTACTTAATTTCCCCACCCCACTTAAAACACCCCAGCTATTAAGTGAATTCATTTCAGTGGTATTATAATGGTTACGTCTTGCAACTGATAATCTATACTTATCACAACAAACTCTTTTTTAAATTCACTAAATTAACTGCTTTTCCATTTCTATTATGATGGGCAGTCAAATGAAAACAGGTCAGAAGCCAAATCATATTAAAGAACATTTCTTACCTCAAAAGTAATCTCCAAAACTGTTAATACATTTATCCCAATGGGAGATAAGACAGTCAATCCCAACCTTGAAAAAGCTTGTGGGCTGTCTACGGAACCACATCTTTACCCAACCACACACGTCTTTGT